AGACACTAGGAGACCACTTGTCAAAAATGCCAATTCTTGGACCTCACTTGAAGTGCGCTAACTCAGACTCTTTAGGGCTGGAGTCCAGGAATTTGCAATTTAACAAACATCCAGATTCTATGGTTTGAGAACTACATGCTAGCCAAACCAGACTATTGCCATTTGCTTAACAAAGTGCCACGTTTCCTAACTCTGTAACGTATGCCCTCTGTCCTTCATGCTTCAAGCTTACAGAGTCTGTTCTGTACCTTTCCTGATCCCCATTTCTGGCCTGCCTCCCCCACAACCACACACAAATCAGTTCTCTTTTTATGCCTAGTTGAAATGCTCATTCGTCCAGTCAGGTTTAATTGTTTGAGCATTTTGCGTTTTCAGTGTTTATTGCTTATGTCTTTATTACAATATTTCTTCTCTCCAGCCCTTTAGTGAACATAATTGTACAGAATTTAAGCTCTACTAATAGAATTGAATTTTTCATGTGTAGATACAATATCTGATTCATAAGAATATCTCCACAGTGTCTGGCATATTTTTCTACAAATAGTAGACATATGTTAGATGTTTGAATTGAATAACAAACTATTCTTAGCCTGTCCTCTCCTTGATAAAGAATTACCAAACACTGCTAATGTTTTTGGCAAAGAGAGGCAATGCTGGACAAGGTAATCTGGTTTTATTTCTTTATAAATCTTCAAATAGCCAGTGATTTGGTAACTAAACTCACTCTGGCTTGCTCTGCTAAATCAAGTGAATTTTGTCTACTTGATAGTTTATATTTGTGCTCTTAGCGAATGGCTCTACCAAAGTTGTTAGCCATTTATTTAGACCATTAATTCTCTTACACTGATTACTTAGATATGCCAAAACACAGAAAAAGTTAGCGGAAGTGATTTGGAGTTTTCTCTGTTTCTCTTGTACATGAGCACAAGTGAAAGGTTAGAGCAGGATCTGGTATTCCAGGTAGAAATCAAGTTCAGTTAATGCACAGCCTCACATTCTAAAGAAAGGAATCCAAGAAGAAATTCACAAAGCCACTCCCCAACTCTGTTCCCTGAAGGCCATGCCCAGATAAGAACTCTTCCATTAAGCTCTCCAAGGAACCCCAGCCACTCTTTCTACTGAACATCGTACGCATGGTGTTTATTATGTTTTTCCCTGTCCTGTGGTGATTCATGGACATCTCATCACCCCCTGGACTTTAAACTCTTAAAATTAGGGACCAGGTGTTTTCCATGTTTACATTTCTTATAGTGCCTATGATGTTACCTGGCACACCAAAGGTATAGATAAATCCAAGATGAATGAGTAGATAAAGACAGTATATCAATTTTGTTGAATCACAGGTATAATGTAAGATTTTTCTGTTCAGTTTACTTTATCCAAACCATAAGCTATTCTACATTTCCAGAGGAATTGTCATATCATAGAAAAAGCAAAGAATGACTCTGTGACCACAGATAGAGAGAGGGGATAATTTATCTTCTCTTTACCCTAGGTAGAGAGAGTTAGGGAGGTTGTTGAGAGCACGTTTGAGTTATGTGCAAGGTACTTAAATACCCCACGCTTTAGGTTCCTCCTCTATTAACTGTTGACAAAATTTTTATCTACTTTACAGGGTTGTTGTGAAGATTAAATTAATTAATATGGGTAAAAGCATCTGACACATGGTAATGGTGAATGACACACGGTAAATAATCAATTAACGGACTTGAATCTTTTTAATCCTTTCTATCTGCCTTACTAAGACAAAAGGGCACTGGGATGGGAATTTGTTTCTTTAGAAACATTTGGTTCCAGAGAATAGAAACAGAGCATAAAGTATAAAGCAGACCATTAAGGTGCACTGCTCGACATGAGTTATAAACATTCGTTAGTATTTATGTGATATAAATTGGATAACAAGGGTGGATAAGTAGAATAATTGAAAAAGGACTCTTCAGTATCACAGGTTTCAATTCAGGTTCTGCCACTTGTCAGTTGTTTGAACTTGGATACCTAAAGATCTAAACAGATCACTCTAGCAGGGAAAACTGATGTTTCTTTATCCCATTGGATAGACAGAAGAGTTCTTATGCTTGAGTCCCACCTGAGGGTAAATTACTGGCTCTTAATAGATGAAGACAAGGACTGTGGCATCTGGGAACTCAAATGCTGATTATCCATTGAAGGAAGAGTGTGCAATTATAATTACATACAACACGCAATCAAAAACTGTCCAAATTATGTGTTGTTTCTATTCCTATCTGTTGAGAACTTTACTCTTGACACTTCGGAGTGTGGTTGATAACAGGCAGGAAAACAAGGTAAATTGCCTTTAAATGTTTCAGATAGCAATGTGACAATGAAACTAAAATTTGGAAGAAGCAACTCAACAGCAAAAAACGTATTGAAAAATGGAAAAATACATAGGAAAATGTAGGTGGAACTATCTATGTGTGGTGGTAAAAACTATAGTTTCTCAATGTATTAGGTTGAACCACATAAAATTTTCAACATCAGACAGGTTTAACTTATAGAAATGACAATTTCACGCGTGTTAAGCCAACATCAATTAAGAGCCTTTTGAAAGAGGCATGGTTTAGTGATATTTTGTATAGTTTATATGAGGAATTATAATGACGAAAAATCATCATTTTTATATTAGGTTTATATTGGAAGACCCAAGATATATGAAAGAAAAAGGAAACAAAAGCACACGTGAAGAGAAAAATTACAATTGAACTCCTTGTTATGGAGGCAAAAGAGAAGAAAAATTGTGCTGTAGGTACAAATGGTGTCATGAAAAGAAAGAATCTTACCTATATATAAAAGATTAATTTGAATTTGTGCACTCAAAAGGGGTTTCCAAATAGCAATGCTCTATAAATTCTCCCAGTGATTTTGATCAACGTCCGTGTTAGGTAACAAACCTTGCAGTTGCATGTCCCCAGTTTCTCTCTGGAATAATTCATTACTGGGGATTGGAAACAAATACCAGAAATCACTCTGGACTTGGTAAAGGCAGAAGCTCCTCTTCTAGCATTCTACAGAGGGGAAGACTTTGTAAAGTTAATATCTTGTGAACTTTACAAAGCAGGTGCATCATAAGATCTTACAGTTTCATGATCCTAGTTGAAAAGGTGAGGTGACAAAATCTAAAAAAATACTGAGAGTAGAAGACTCTTATTATAATCCAAATAAAAAGCTAGGACTGGGCCGGCCCCAAGGCTGAGTGGTTAAGTTCGCGCGCTCCGCTTCAGCGGCCCAGGGTTTCGCTGGTTCGCATCCTGGCCGTAGACATGGCACCGCTCGTCAGGCCTCGCTGGGGCAGCGCCCCACATGCCACAACTAGAAGGACCCACAGCTAAAATACACAACTATGTACCCCGGAGCTTTGGGGAGAAAAAGCAGAAAAAAAAAAAAAGGAGATTGGCAACAGTTGTTAGCTCAGGTGCCAAACTTCAAAAAAAAAAAAAAAAAAAGCTAGGACTATAAAGGAGGTAGTTGAAATCCAGAACCCATGATACATTTCAAAGTGAGTAAAAAGACTTAGTAATGGGATAGAGTTGAGGGATAACTTGTAGGAAACATGAAAAGATAAGACTAAGGATGCTGGTCTGGGACATGAGAGAGAAAATGTGAATTGAGACAAAATGGGATATTAATGAAGGGAAATACAAAGAAAATAATAGTTAAAATGGTGGCATTTCAATTTGAAAGGGTAGAGGTACATCCAAGGAGAAGAACTGTACATAAGATTACAATTTGAGAATCTTCTGTACAGAGACAATAATGGAATGAAAACTCAGTGTTTTCTTCTTTGTCAATGCCAACAAACTAGCTGCATTTGCCTTGAGCCTTAGACTGAGAAGGAGTCCATATCTGGGCTCTGCAGGAAAGACTCTGTGGTCAGTCAGCAATGTCAATCATGTGATTTGGAGGCAAGCATAACATCAAGAATCTCACGAAAGAGAGACATAGATGGTGCTGAGCTAATCGGGCAAGGAGGTGGAATGAGAGAAGAGCTGCATGATAAGCAGAGAACCTCAGCATTTCCTGGAGTTGGGTGTGGGAAGGAATTGGGCTAGGCCAGAAATAGAGATTTGGGGAGAAATTCAGGGAAGTGCAGAGTCATAGAAACCAAGGGAAGAGAAAAGGACATAAAGGAGGTTATTACCAACATAATAACATTCTGCAAAGCAGTAAGAAGAATGAGTGTGAGAACAATCCCTAGACTGGGCAATAACACGTTTCTTTGCATGTTGGGAAAGACTACATCATTTCAGGGAATGATGAAGTGAACCACACTGAGGAATTATAGTCACTTTTTATGTACCACACAATTAAGGAATTAAGTTACCTCTCAGCCTCCATCTTCTGGGATAATTTGTCACTGTTTATTACTAAAATCAGATCATTAGTTTGGATAACACAAATCTTAGGAAGGAAAAAAGTACTCTAAGGTTTAATTTTTAAAAATTGAATGAAAGTGTTTTCCAATCTTGCTTTAAAATTATGGTTTAAAGTTCATATGAATACAATTTTAAGATACGATATTATTTTTTATTCTAAAGATTAACCTAAATTCACATTAAATTAAGAAAATCAAATCCTACAGAAGAACTTTCTTATAACAGAGTCACCATTACACAGAATCAGATATGTGTTCTTTCAGTCGTTACTTACTGCATAAGTACCTCTTTACCTAGGTAGACAGAGAAGGGAGATTGTTGAAAGCATGTTTAAATGGTGTACAAGATACTCAACTACTCCACGTTTTAGTTTCCTCTTCTATAAATTGTGGACAAAAATGAAAAAGAAAAGGAATATGTCTAGGAAAATGTCAAGGCCCACCATCTATCTGACTCACAAAGGCACCTGGCTAAAAACAAGCCATTCCAGAAAAGAAGGCCTCATTTCCTCTACCATGATGTTAAGAAATCCTCATTAAATTAAGAAATGGGAGTTGCCAGTGCCCTCTGGCCCTTTAAAACCACTGACATTCTGATTCACTGAGGTACTATGGAAATCAGAATAGAACACAGGGCATCTGAGAGCACCCAAGACACTGGCAGTTGGAAGAGTGATGGAGGACAAGCAGGGCCTCAAGGAAAGGTAAAGATAGACGCACTTGAAGAAAGATATGTTAAGCTGATCCGGAGGGAAGAAAAGGAGATTTGTAAGAAGAGTGAGTTAAAAGTAACAGAATTTTTTATTTGACCTCTGCAACAACAACAAAAAAAAAGAAAAGAAAAAAGAACCGTTTTTGAGGTTAGTTGATAGGAGAAAAAACAAAGAATTGAAACTAGTTATTTCAGAAATCTACTTTTATTATCAAAGCAACACTATTAACTTTTAGTGTACTGAGTAAAGGTTAAATAAGCCAATTAGGATTTGAGATCCTCAGATTTTTTAAAAAATTTATTGACTAGTTAAATTTATAAAAGAAATTGGGGGAATTACCATAAAAATACCATTTTTAAATTTGACAAATCAAGGACAATCTGCAATCACCATTACATAAAGGAAAAGATATTTTACTGTGATGCCAATGCTACTGTGAGCGACTGCCAGCAGATGTATTCCTCTCTTTTTCTGTGTGTGTGTGTGTGTGTGTGTGTGTGTGTGTGTGTGTGTGTGTGTGTATGTGATCCATGGATGGGGGTTGAGGAAAAATGTACTATAAATTGAAGGAGAAAATAATAATGTAAACAGAAAAAGAGTGAAGCTACTCTAGATTAAGTTCTCTCTCCTCCCCACTCCCCAGTTCATTGGAGAGTTTTTCCCTAGGACATGAGTGTTAGTTATTTCCGTGTAAACTTAAAAAAAAAAGTCTACAATTTGAGTCTTGTTTTAACATTCTCTTTCATTTCAAAGACATTGTTTATTGATAACACAGGGAAGGGATTTTGCTATTTAGTAGCATGTGACGAACTGAGTAAACTCTTTTTTCAGAAGAAATGGAAACTAGAGTTCATCACTGAAGAGGTGTCCTGATAATGTAAATATTGTGATAAGCTAAAAACTGGAATCACCCAGAAGAATAACTAGGACTCATCATGTCCTTCTCAGTCCATCCTCGAAAGACTAGCAAAAGACCTTTTCCATTGGAATCTCTTCTAATGCCACAAGTTCCACGTAGCAACTACTTACATTTTCAGGAAGAGAAGCAAAGACTACAGCTAAAAAAATTCCTTCTCCATAGGATGTTTCTAGTGGCCAAGATAACAGCAAACACAGAAAGAAAAGATATTGCTGAATACTATGATCAAGTGTTTCAGTCAATTTTGAAGCGTCACCTAGGAGAAGCAGTGACAGGATTATTACTCCTATATCCTACCTCCATTTTGCATATCCTTGAGTCCTGCAATGGTACTCTTTACCGAATTCTCCTAGATTATATTAACAGAGGAAAGAATGAAACAGAATTTTTTATCCAAGGAATGAAAATTATAGTCGTGTCTCATAACATCCCAGCAAGGCTCTTCATGCAATGGCATGTTTCAGTAATAAAAGTGCCAGTCATGTATCTTGATGATGTGACACAGTCACAGTCCCTAGAAGAGGTCATAACAGAATTTCTCATTCAAACTCATAAACTGGCACTCCATCTTTTTAAGACCGTCAAAGTGGGCACTAAAGGACCAGGCGATAACTTGCACCAGGTTGCACCGGAATTACTCCTCCCAGAACAAATAATAAAGTATTTGTGCAAATCTGAGGAATTCATGGACCCAGAAACTTTCATAAACATGTATAATAAACCCATACATATCACTTTGGATTCTGAGGTGGTATGGCCCGCTCCCTCCCGTTTCTAGGATTAAGAGTGATGATGTGGTCGATGTGGTCAAATCTCTTAAGAAATGTTTGCTACTTAAATAAAAGGAAAATATTTCTAAAGTTACTATTCTCTTTAAAAAGGAAAGAAACAGAACACCACAATATGTACAAAGGTAATATATTAATCTTGACAGAGTATGTTGAGCTAAACTTGAAAATTTATCTGTTCTGATATTAAGTTCAATGCATTATTTTAATGGATGGAGGAATTTAATAAGTTCATAATAAGTTCTCAAATGCTAACATCGCTTTGATGGAATGACTTAATTTTTTAAAGAAAAGTATGGATGAAAAACGACAAACACTTGCTTCATATTCCCATTCATTCTCTCAACAGTCAATGAGCAGCTATCCTCACACAGCACTGTATTCAGAGAATACAGCATTTAGGGGAAAAGTATTCTTGAGTTCCTTGCAACCTAAGGGTGGAGGCAAGTATGTGTAAAAGTAAATATGATAACATAATACAATATAATAAAACGTGATCATTCTTCCTGTAGCAATGTGGAGGAAAGACTTTAAAAGCACAAGTGCTGGAGTAATCTCTATATGGTTCCTGAATTCAGAAAATAAAACCTCAACTTTGAAAATAGTTCCAAAGCTCACATATTCTAGACAATATAATCAAGAAATTGAGTTCATTATAAAGCTAAAGAACACAAATACCTTTTTGAAATGAGCAGAAAATACATTGTCAGAAAGCATTGTACTCTTTCATGTCAAACATTTATTGAGTACCCTTCATGTGACAGACATTTGCCCGGTGCTAAGGATTTGTCAGGGTACATAGAAGACATGATTCCTACTCACTTATAAAACATTTCGAAATGATTATAAACAAATTGGTTATTTTTTCAACTGACTTCCTATAAAGCAATTAATTCTATGCAATTTCTCTATAGCCTATTTCAAGTTGATCTCTCCCTTTCTGTACTCAGGATTAATGCTTTTTTTATTTAAAACTTTCTAATTGTTTAAACAATTAAATGACATTAATATTTTGAATACTTCAGTGATATTTATTCAAAATTTACTTCAATATCTTATGAAACAGACTTTGGATTTAGTAGAGGAAATACTGTTATATCATTTTAGTTTCATTATTGTTTATTCGATTTTCAGTCTCTTTGGGGAAACAAGTAATCCCAGTATGCACCTCAAATTTGTGATATGCAGATAATTTGTCATCATTTGTTGCACATCTGAATCAAATTTGAGGAAAGCCCATTCCTATTTTTAAATTTTGTAATATAGATTTAAACACAGAATGGCATTTTCTCCCTTTAGTTGAACTTGAAGTTCTGCTTTTTTAAATTTAGCAACAGAAAGAGTATAAAACTTAGATAAAATGAGAAGTAATACTTCTGGTTAAGAAAGAGCACATAATTTACAAACATTTTAGCAATTTAGTACATATTAAACACCTAGTATTAGTAAGCAATGTGCTCTTTACTCTGAACTATAAGAAAAACACAGGCACCCATGGTTATTAAATGTTTAGTGACAAAATGAGTGATGGTAAGAGTAAATGCTTCCCAGCCGCCCCCTCCCCCCAACACACACACACCAAGAGAAAACACTTGATGAAGAAGTAAGTCTTGGTCTAGGCTTTGAATGGATGTGAGAAGACGTTTGGGAGGGCAGACAACTATATTTAAAAGAACAGAGAACAAGCAGAACAAGAAAGAGAAAATAAACAATAGATGTTCATTGGACCCTTCAGCAGGGTAAATTTTGTTTGGGAACAATATTTCCTAAAGTTAGCTAGTGAATAGAAGTACAGTTTATAAATAACATTATATATTTACATATATAAAAGAATGGTACATTATATTTTCCCCAAATGGCCACTGCATTATATCCCATCCCAGCCCAGACACTCTTCTTTCAATGTGACCTTTACATTGCTCCCATGGCTTGGTGGCTTTTAAATCCTTTCCCTTTGAAATCAGTCAGACTTTGTGACTGCCTCCACCAACAGAGTACACCAGAAGTGATCCCAAGTGACCTCCAGGGCTAGGTCCTAAAAATGCCACACACTTTGCCTCGATCTCTTGAACGTTAGTTCTCGAAATCTAAGCAATATGCTGTGAGCAACCCAAGCACTTTTCCAGATGACACCCCAGTGGAGGTCCCAGCCAACAGCCAGTTATCACCACTAGACACATGAATGAGTGAACCTTCAGCTGATTGCAGACTCCAGCCTTCCGGTCAACCCTGGATTTCAAGCCAGCCCAGCTGACACTGTGTGGAGCAGTGAAGCAAAGAGGAGCTATTCCCACTGAGCCCTGCCCAAAGTGCAGATCTGTGTGCAATATAAATGATTATTGTTGGTTTAAGCCACTAAATTTTGGGTGGATGATTATGCAGCAGTCTGAAAAAATAACAGATATGTAACAGGAATAATTATATATGTATATATATATATATTTCATATCATTTATTTATTTATTCAGCTATGCACTAATATTTACTAAATATCTACTAGTAAATATTTACTAGGGGGCCAAGCCCTGTGCTTGTCACTGGGTATACAAGCAGCAGGAAGGTTTGTATTCTCCACACTGCCTAGCGTAAATCTTTTATTGGTTTATAATACTTTCTGGTGTGAGAAATATTGATAGAAAATTAATTCATTAAGCCAAAGAAAAACATTGAAAACCTGAGTCATTTTTAGAGGAAATTAGAGAAAATATCCAAATGAAAATATTAGTGAATTACTAGTATACTGTTATTTCACATTAAAGGATTCACGAAGTGTCAACTGTGAAAATAAGTGGAAAATAAGCACAAGGTGACTACAAATAAATTCAACTACTTATGTAGTTATTTATTTTAGTTAAAACACTAATATGAATTTAGTCAATGAAAGTCCTCCTTCTTAGAGGTCACGTTAGGAGAGTTTTTACTTATTCCAGTGACAACATCATTGCTGAAAACATTTTGTGACTCTTTTACGGCAGATGAATTAAGGAGGTTTATAAATCAAAGGGAGTTTAAATATTTCAGTTACATCTACTCTTTTGCTCCACAAATAATATACACTTCAACTTGATTGGTGACCTTAATATTCAATCTTCATTCAGAGAAATGTTTGCTGATTTAAATACTGCACTCACTCTCAAAGGAAGCTCTGCTGTCACCAAATACATTAAAAAGATGTGAACTGCCTCTAAGGAAAAACACATGTTTTCAGCAACAGTTGCATGATTGAGCTTCCTATATAGCTCACTAATATTATGTCTTTAAAGGTGATAACACTCATTTAGCTGTGTATATTTGGGTATTTTTGATAAAATGCACAAATATTGTATTCATACCTTACAAATGTAATTTAATTTGATCAAGTCCAAAAATGTGACTCACCAAACCTCAGAAAGCCTCATAAGGTAATTCTCAACCAATGAGAGTATAGTTTCCTTTCAATAAAACTTTACATAAAACCAGAGTACAGAAGTTAACCCAAACAGAAAATGAATATTTTAACGCTGAACATATAACATTTAATGTTCATATAACTTATATACTCATATATATTCAATAAACACGTAACATTTAAATGTGTGGCCAGCGCCGTTCTAATCCTTTTATTTCGATACAGGTACCTTTACAATAGATTGACATGCTGATGCTCTTATGCTTATTTCAGAGTAACCAAGGACTTTCAGGGAGGTTATAGTTTTCATGGAGGATAACTGAAATAATGTTATTTTGAAGGAAAAACCCTTCCAGGATGAATTTAAAAATTCTACTGTCTTCATTTTAATTAAAGAGGCATCTATATTACTTCATGGAGAGTAATTGCTTTAGATTTTTACATTCAGTAACTTTGTCAACTTCAGCAACATAAAACTACATTTCGATTCAGCCAGACCTATCTCTAGCAGTAAAATTCCCCCAACTTCCACGAGAAAGTAAAAATGAGACAGCCTATCACCAACTTCATATAGCAAAGTACTTTTAGATTATTTCAAATTGTAGAAAATAACTTAATGTAGAATTAGAGTTCTCCCCCTTGTGGTCAATTACGTAAACTTCCAGATTGCCTGCTGATAGGATTTATATAATAAATATAGTGCATAGATTTTAAGAGAATATAAAGAGAACCTCCAAAGGTACCTTTCAAATATCTGCTTTACTACCCTTGTTTTGCAGATAATGATTATGAGACCCAAAGACATTAAGTGTTTTGTGAATAGGAAAAGCAAGAGTTGATAACAGTAGTCCCCTATTTCCATTTCAGCACTTTACATAACTAATTGTGGTCAGAGTTAGGGGTCTGGATTTAATTTTAAGTGTTAACACCCCTCCTGTGCTCCAGTTCTTACACAGTGCCTTCTTGAGACTTCCCACTGGATTTCCACAAGCATCTCCACCTCCAGGGGCTTTAGGTAGAATGTGTCATTCTCTGCCACCACTATTCCTTCAATCTGCTCTCCCACTTGTACTCCCTGTTTCTATAAAATGGACCATTCCCCACACAGTTGCCAAGTCAGAAATTTTGACGTTGTCCTAATTTCCTCCCTTCCTTTTTGTTACTGACAACCAATCAATCCAAGCCCAGTCCATCTTACTCATGGTAAGTATTTCTAGTGTCCAGCCTTGTTTCAGTGCCCTCATTATGGAGCTCCCTCACTCCAATCCTCTCTGCCTCCTCTCTCTCTTTGTGGTCTATATAATATTATTCTATCAAAATTACAGGCAGTAAGCATAAGTTTTAAGAGAACCACTTCCAGTATCAAATTGCTGTGTTGAAACCTAGCTCTGCAACTTTGTAGATCTGTAATTTGTTTCTTTACCTTTCTGTACCTGTTTCTTCATCTACAAAATGAGTGTGATAACATTATCTACATTATAGGATTGGTTATGAGTGTTTAATGAAATAATGGTGTAAAGATCCTGGCATACAGTAAGCACTCAATAAATGTTATTCTTCTGATGGAAATTCTTCAGTGGCTTCCACCTCACCTCCAGGACAAAGCAGTAAAATTCTATCATGATCTGCAAAGCCTTGATTCTCTGATCCCAGCCTCATCTTGTGTCCACTATTTTATCTCTCTTCACACTTTGTTCTCTAAAGGTTTCCCACTATTTCCAAGCTCTTCACCTTTAATTTCCTTCCGTACTTCTCTTAGCGAAATTCTGTTTATCAATCAAATTTTATTTCCTCTGCGAAGCCTGGCAAACTCAAGAAATCCTTTTCTGTCCTCATTGTACATGGTACTCAACCACATTCTAGCAATTCTCCTGTCATATTGCTGTTGTTTATTTTCACATTCATTTTCCCACCAGCAACTTGTAAGCAATTACCGCAGGATTTTTTGGTATTTGTATCTTTAGTGCCTCATTTAGAGAAATTCATTTAAAATATCTGTAAGAATTTCTTCTTTACATTAATTTTACTTTTATCAAAATGGTTGTGGAATTTCAATATATTAAAATGTTCCTATATGATTGATTGGGTTTTGGCCATTGTCTACAAAGCTCTTTAAAATAGCAAGTTAAAATATAACGGTTGCACCACATCTGAAATCTTCAGTTTTACCCACATAATAATTTCTTCCACTCTAATTTGGAAGGATACCAACAATATTTTCTGGAAGAGATTCAGTATGTATTGCTACTCAATGAGACAAGGATAGAAGTTTATTCTCAATTCATTGGATTAAAAATACTCTTTCCTGTTGGAGCATCTGAGCAAGCTGTTAGTAAGGTACACATCATTTATTCAATATTTAAAGATGTTTTCTATGTGTTCTGCAAGTCCTTGTTTCACTAGCCACTCTTAGCTGTTCTTTGAGATGTACGCTTGATAAGACTAATATTTATCTATTAGCTATATTTGCTTGGTTATTATTAAAGTGTAAATTAGATTCCATTTTAATTATATAGTTCACATTTCTGATCTGTTTTTAAAATACTAAGCCATTTTTAAAGACACTATTTAAAAAACAGTGCATTAAATGCAAAGCCTTGCTTTATGGAGGAAGAAATAAATGTCTGAGTATTGAACATATTTACATTTCACCAAAATACACTCTAGCGTAATGACCTCCTCAGGGATATCTCTCACTCAAGTCTCACCTTTCTCCTCTGTCTCTTCCCAGTTTATACAATACTTTGCTTTTTGCAGCTAAAAATAATATAACATTCTACAAGAAGGTTTGTTTTATCATAGATTAAAACTACATACCTTGTAATATTTTAATTCTTTGATTCTTCACTTTCTATCCTATACAGTGGCAATTCTTGAGTACGTACTCTATTCCAGCCAAAAATCAAAATGAAAAAATGAAAAGATCATTGAAGTGAGATGACTGAGCTTTGTTATGTACTCTATTACTAACTCATTACGTGCCCTTGAACATGTAATTTATTCTTTTTGGGGTCTATGTTCATCTACATCATAGACTCTATGAACATTATAAAGAAATCCATGAAACCCCTGAACTGTTATTCAAAAATGTGTCTGAAAGGAAAGACTGTTATTTTAACAACCAGGCAGGAAGAGGACAGGATTAAGGTGTTTTAATTAAAATTTTGAAGCCAAATGTCTAAATGAATGACTAATGAACCTTATCAGATAACATCTGGGGGCAATACAAACATTTTCCTTTAAAAAATTCATCCTGATTGCATCCATTTTAGTGTAAAGATGGATGAGAAACTAAAAAGCCAGAAATCTATATATTAGATTATGATATCTAAATAGCAAGTTTGGTAGCACTGTGGCTTCAGAAAAAACAATCAAGAGTGAGGCATTTTTCTTTAAGGCTGATGGGAAGCCATTGAAGATTTTAAGCAGGGCACAATCAGATTGGTTTGGCTGCTGAGTAGAGAATGGGCTGGCAGGGGACATGTTGGTGCAGATAGCCTCCTTAGTAAGTGGTTACAAATTTTCTGGCAGGAGATGATAATAGCTTGAACTAGATTAAAGACTGTGGAAATGGATCTATGGGGATCAATTTGAGAGGTAATTAGGAGGTAAGTAAACATAGGTTATAAGGGAGAGAAAGGTGTAAAATATATTAGGTTCCTAGTTTTTCCAACATGATGGTACCATTCCTGAGGTAGGAAATATACAAGGAGTATGGAGTTTGTAGGGGAAGATTATGTTTTTAACTACTGCCATATTATAGCTACAGCATCAAATTGGAATAATTTTTGTTTGATATTTCCATTATCAATATCTTTGGATGAGGTATAGAGCACATGCATTATATTAAATCTCATACTTTGTTGAAATGGCTAAGTACTAACATGTATTTTCTGATATAAGTAAGTAACTTTTAGGAAAGAAAAGTGAAAACAGTTTGATAAGTTAAAATAAATTAAGCTAAAGGAGAAATTCTCCCAAAGATCATCTGAGTCTGATATTCACCATCAAAGCTCCCCTCAATCTTATATCTGCATTCTGTGGAACCATAATTAAAATCAGCACAGCTTATTGAGCTTAATGCATTCCCCTAATCAATTCAAAGTCATTCAAACCCTTAATTCAATAATTATTTATTGATTTCCTTCTATCTGTACAGTCATGTGTTGGGGCCACGTGAGACAAAAACACAAAAAAGCCTCCATAGGGCCCCCTAAATTCATTAGTATATCATTTATTCCACTTGTAATAAAAATTTAGGTGAAAAGATATCCTTTGGCATTATATTGAAAAGGCTTTCTCCCTGTTTCTCTCAATTGGTCATGGGACAACATGACACACATTGAATTTTGTTCTCTCTCTGCATTTAGTAATGAACTGAAAAACTATTTCAGGCACTTTGTCAAGCAAGGAAACTCAGGGGTGCAATGCAATCATGAGCAAATAAGCATAATTTCTACTTGAGAAGGTATGTAGTCTCTGTCTCCCTCTACCCCAGACACATAAAAGAAAATTAAACAATTATAATAATTGCTATGATCATGGATATACAAGTTGCAATGATTTCCTAACTTTATCTAGTTTAGAGGATTAAGGGATGCCTTTGATGGAAGAAACACACAAGGATTTCTGAAAGTTAAATAGAAGTGAGCCAAAAAATAGGCAATGAGTAGGAGGAGAGTGTTCCTGCCAGAGGAGATATATATACTCTAGTAGAGGGATATTCTAAAATCTGAAGGCAAGAAGAGCCATACTGTGCTGAAAGAACTAAAAGAATTTCAATAAGGAAGGACCTGAAGTACAAAGGGAAACCATAAGAGCTAAGACTGGATGGTTAAGCATGGGACCAGATTATGCAGACACTTAAAGCTACATAAACACCATGACTTCATCTCAAGTGAAATGGGACACAGTCCTGTTTTAATCAGAGAAATGCCATGACTAGATATGCATTATAGAAGGACCATTTTGAATTGGGAGAAGAAATTGGGAGAGAACTAGGAACTAGACTAGATAGATATACTAGTTAGGAGGCTATTACAGTAATCAGGGGAAAAGATCATAGGAAATCTCTACAAAGATAATGACAACAAGAATAGAAGAGATGGCAAAAATCAAGAGATATGTTGGACATCCTGGTATTTGATTGAAAGTCCAGAGTGTGAAGAAGAGAAAGGAGTCAAGGACAAAATACCTGGCAGGTGGGAGTACCGTTCCTTGAGACAGACAATCCTGGAAGAGCAGCAGGATGGGGATGTTCAGGGAGTGAGATGAAGTTTTGTTTTTTGAACATGCTGAATTTGAAGTGTCTGAGAAACAACGTTAAACTATCCATTAGAGAGCTGGATATATTGCCCTGATGCTCAGGAGATGGGTCTGGTATAGAGAGGGAGATTTGGAGATCACCATAGATGATGACTGAGGGTTCAGGAGTAGTGCTATCACCTAAAGCAAGCATATATTGTGAACAAAGAAGAGAGCCTACTTCAAAACCCTGAGGAATGCAAAGGGAAGAAGAACAGGGACCTACAGAGAAGTCTAAGGAGACATTATTTAATTTAAATTGCTGAGGAACAGAGAAAGAAAAGCAGATGAGGGTAGTGTCATGGAAGTCAAAAGATTTCCTAAAAAAGAGAGTACTCAACAGCATGAACTGCTGTCTCAAAGTCAAGTAAGGAAAGGACTAAAAAGTAGATTTAATGTCAAGGAGGCGACTTGGAAAGAGTGACTTACATAGTCTAGTGGAGGCAGAAACCGGATGCACTAGGTTGAGGAATGAGGGTTGGGTGAGGAAATGGAACAAGTATAAACAATATTTCTAAAAGTTTGGCCGTTGAGCTAGTTGTTATGAATATGCAGAGTCAATTTTGGAATGTAAAGGTCCCTTTTAAGATTCTAAAATTTTTACTAAAAGGAAGACCACCAATTTATTCTGGTTCAGGAAGGAATCTGTCCTTTTATGTGAGATTACACATCCAATCATGGCCCAAGGGGAAAAAAGTTCTACCCAGTTTCAAATGGCAAAGATGTGGTCTTGTACCTTGAAGGTCCTCAAATGACTGTACAGTTCTAGAAAAGAAAGGTTGCTCAATGAACATTTGTTAGATAAATAATTGCACTTATCCCTAGAAGAAACCTAGCTGTGCAGAAAGTGACTTCAGAATATGTGTGAGCTCTGAAGTTACAGTTCAAACTTGGGGTTATTCCATTGTTATTTCCATGGTCAAATTTTATAGTTGATTGCAGATTATGCCATGTGCGTTATCTACTTTATGGACCAACCACACTGCATTTGTAAATTTTTCTCTGAATTCTGGCCCTTTTCCAGATTGCTTCCTTCTTTGCCCAGCCAGGACATGATAGGAAATTGCAAATTACAATCAAATCTGAATTTTCCAAACTAATGATTTTAAAGAGCCACAATGCATAATCCAAAATGATGGTGAATTCATGAACCATTTATTTCTGTAATGTATACTCATTAAACTTGACTATAAGTACATCTTATGTAGCACTCATACCAAAATGATAAAGCATTTCAACTGAGGTGACTTAAGAGGACTTGCAAGGTTTTCCAATTTCTCCACTTCTGCTTTCTACTACATCCTATTGCTTATATCACCTTTCCTCTTTAGATGACTCATTAAAATAAACTCACATATCATGTTTTTTTAGGATAGAGAAGATAAGTTTCATCTACTTCTGGTAGCATTTCCTTATTATTGCCACCATTCTCTATAGCCATGTCTCTCTGTCTCTGTCTTTTTGAAAAATTTCATTCACAAAAGTAAAGAGAATTGTTTAAGGAACCCACGTATCCATTACCCTCCTCAACAATGATCAGCATCTCTTTTTAAAATGTAATCTTTGTTAAGAGACATGATTGGTATCTTTCTAAGATATTATAGATTAAGAAAGCACACGAATGCTAGCACTAAAAGGAGCTTTAGATGTTGTCTATTGCAGCCTAGTCCTTCAATGAGGAAAATGAAGCAAGTAGATTAACAAAGGCCGGTGCTGATTGAGAGCAGGGCAAGAGCTGGACATTTCCCACATCTTTCTTATTCCCTCTGGTGAAATCAAAATGACACTTCTATTGCCTTACTCTTGGTACAGAATATTTCCCAAAAATCCACATATTATGAAATGTTACTTTCCACAGTCTTACAAAGCACAAACAACATGCAAAAACTTGAAGTGTTTTAAAGTTTAGCATATTAGCCATAAGATTATTGGGTTGAATTTTTAGGGGTGAACAGCTGAATGATAGGTTGTGAAAGATAAATAAAGTTCTTACCTTGGATGTTTTTTAGCCAGGACATCATCCATGAATGTACTCAATATTTATCTTTTTTAATGGGATGATCTCAGCAGTTCTTGTATTCCTTTTGCCACATACAAGGAGAGGTAATCACCAGTTTGACATTTTCACTTTTGACCTTCTTGCACAAGTAGCAAGTGTTTTTGTAAACTGTAAGATGTTTAGGGCTTTCATATAATATTAAGCTGAAATGAGTGTGGTGTTTTCCTCAGGAGTCCTCCTGTCCATAAAAACTGCTTTGTGGGATAATTCTTAGGAGGGCCACTCACCCATGTCTGTTGCTAAAGATGTTTACTCAGGGTATTGTACCATGTCAGAGGAGCTGGAAAGCACAGCTCACAGGTAGGCACAGTCTACTAACAGAACTGCTATTTCTTCTCTCCAGCACTAGCTGGTTTTCTTGCTAATATTAATCAAATGATAGCTGTATAAGCACAATTAGTTTACAACATAATAAGAATATGATTTCCCCTTTGTATTATAGAAAAGACACCAAAACACCTTTTGATGAAGATGACTCCCAGTTGATTAATAGGAAAAAATGCTTGCATAAATAGAATTATATGTGCATATTTGGAACATAATTATAGATAGAGATATTGGTATGTATGTACATATATATACGTACATGTGAATATATATACAACTCTGGTAACCCAAAGTAGAGGAACCAATTAAGATTCATAAAACTCCTCCCAAACAAGTAGGAGAACCAGGGATTTAACTATCAAAGTTTAACAGTGCAGTACAAGAAAGGCTATGTATAAATAATACAGATCACTTCCCCACCAATTATCTCCTCCCACCTCTGCTCTGACTCCCTTCTGAGAAGCTGTCCATGCAGCTTCCTCAAAATACCTATGCCCATAGTTCTGTGTGTGGGCCACAGACTGTGTGACCCTGTCACCCTCACCCCCGTCCCCTCTCTCTTCCCCCTCCTGACCTATTCTATGCACATACACACACAGAGAACACAGGCTGGACTAGTCATTGTCTACTAGGGGCAGAGAAAGCTCATTCATAAGGCAGCAAATGATGAAGCTGAAGTAAGCAACAGAGATGTGATATCTAGCAATACCAGAGATACAAAGAGTCACCTCAGCTCCTGATTCCATTTCCCAGCCCTGACCAAGGCCTGGTAGCATTTTCTACCCCTGAATCCTTCCAATAACAATTCTTCTCTTTTACTTGTCAGTCGAAGTGGATTTTTGTTGGCTTTTTTCCTCTTGAAGCAAACAATTCCTTAGCAGCCTGACAAACATTTTTCAAAGCAACTTAAGACATAGTGCAAAGAGCTCTAGGTTTCACATTAGAAGATTTGTGTTCAAATCTCATATTTTCTGCTGGCTAACTGTGACCTTGAGAAAGTTATTTAACCTCTCTGGGCCTCAGTTTTGTCACCTGTAAATTGAATGAGCACCTAAATATTAAATGAGATACATCATATATGAGGATAACCAGCAACGCAATAAATGCTTCTTGAAGTCATCAGAGTTTAGGTACACTCTGCAAGGTTGCAGTTTCCATAATGCAGTTATGACAATAAGCTTCATGACAAGGACATAAGATGGTTTGAATTCTGACTAGCAGCCCAGGGAGACCTCAGGGACATCAGGTCAATTAGTCAAGCTGCTGATAGATAATGCTTTTGCAGCGAGGATCCTCTAGTCCAGAGATAGTCTGGAAAATCCCCCAGCAGGGTAAAGCACAGAGTATCCTTCAGCAGGCTTTGGCTGCTGCTCTTAATATACTCTGGAAGAACATGAGCTACCCCCGATTGGCTTAAATGCCAATTCAGGCAACTGGACCCTGATCAGTTAATTGACTTTTATTAATATGTGTTATGAATACCCTACTTACATTCTTCAGTAATAACAGGAACATGAGAAAATCATCCCACATTGTAATTAAATGGCTTAATATACTTATGAAGGGATTTATTATTATTATTTCAAAGAACTCAAATTCTATTAAGATGAAAATGGACTTATGTCAGTCTTACGGGTTTTTGCTTCCATTATATGTTTCTAACAAGAAATTGGTTGCTTAATTATATATGTACCTGAAGGAATAAGGTAATAACACTACTTCACTTTTCACCTGAAGTACATAAATCGATTTTTAATAATCACAGCCATGAGCAGAATCAGTATATGACAAAAATAAGAAAAAGTACATAATGATAAGGGAAGCAAAATATATTTTTTTATTTCTTCCTGTAAAGAGATAATTTGGAGTTTTCACCTTGAAAAATTGTAACGTTATTTGCAAGTTATGTGAGATAAAATTTTTGAAGTGTTGGCTTCACTTTTGAATTGTTTTGTATTCTTAGTGTCTTTGGGTTCTTGGAAAGTGCCTTTATTGTCTGTATAATTTCCAGTAACAAGTGTTTTTACCATTAGTTTCTTACTAAAGTCTGAACATTAGTTTATTATACCTACACATTGACTGCTGTGTATATGAATATTTTGCCAAAAATTTTATCTTTTCACTTTGCCATATGTGTAGAAACCCAAATTTTACATTTACTTTTACTTAATGTTTTCATTTTGACTCACTCTAATTGACTAGGACTGATGAATGAATAAAAAAGAATGACCAAGTGGACAGAGTTTTTATCAAGTGCCTACTAAGCTACAGACTGGAGCACCCAGGTACTGTCATTTACCTGTATGAAGAAAACACAGATCCTACTGCCAGGAGACTCAAAGAAAGAGAAACAGATATGTGAACCAAGAATTAAAATGCCATTATGTTGTAATAAAGGAATGTGAAAATTGTCATGGTGGCACAGAGAGAAAGTAATTAATTCTCAGTGATTTTACACCTGACCTTTGGAATCTGAAGGTCCTGGAGCCAAGCCCAAGCTCTCTGCACTGAGTAGTTGTGAAATGTGGAGCCCCATCTCATCTGCAAAATGGAAGATAATAGCACCTACATCTTAAGATTGTTTTGAGAATTAAATAAGACAATGTACAAAAGGCTTGTTTTGGCATAGTATGTGACATAGAGTGAGTGCTTCCTGCCTGTTACTTTGACTGTGACCTGGGCATTAGGAGGTGCTTAGAACATCAGGGAAGCTTCATGGAGGATACCCACAGGAGTTACCAGTGAAAAAAGGAGGGGACAGAGAGTGAGCAAGTCATAAAACCTTCCTCAGCCTCTGGCCTCTGAGTTACAAATCAAGGGAGTGTTGGTGAGTAGACATTGGTTCAATAATTTCACAATGCTAATGTGTACATATGACAAACTCGTGGGCTGCTTGTTTAAAATGCACATCGCAGGCCTCACCCCCAGCATTCTGATTCTGTTAAGTCTGGTGTAGGAGCCTCAAAACTGCAGTTTGGCCCCATTTAGACAATAAGTGATGAAGATGAACTCTAAAGGCCATTCTACCTTGATTTTATTACAAGGAACTAAGTTGCCATATTTGACATGTAATTTACAAGTCTTATTTTCCATCTTTATATTCTAGAATCAGGTGAAAGTGATACATATACACACAAAAAAGCACTTACTACTGATTTCATTTAAATCAGCCAACATGGTGACCTTTCTCGAATATTCACAAATTATTAACTCCAATTTTTGAAAAACGAATCATAATCAGAAAAATCAGAAATGTCCCCTTCCAGGACATTTATCATACAGGTGTATTTGTTTAATGTGTGTTTTACATTCCAGACTGTAAATTCCACTAGAGCAGACAACATAGGTACCTCATTTACCTCAGTAGCTCCACCAGCTAGCACAACGCCAGACACAGTTAATCAAAAAGTATTTTAGTTTCAGGAAAATGGAAAATGCTTGCATTCCTTAGCAGGAGGTAGGAGAGGTTCAGGGCAGAAGTAGATTGGAGAAATATTTAGGAATTAAAATTAGCAGATTTACCAGTTTGATGAGGGATCAAGAAAAACACTCTGAAGCTTCAACCTTAGCTTCTTGCATGAAGATGATGTTCCTAACCAAAGAAGAACACACTTGGTGAAAGATTAGTTCAGTTTTGGAGATTATGTGTTTGAGATGTCTTTGTGAGATAATAACCAGTGACTAACCACAGACGTATGCGAATCTAAAATTCTGCGGTGTAGTAAGCAGAATAATGGCCTCCATAGATGCTCATGATGGAATTCTCAGATGTTGTGAATACCATCTTACACGTCAAAAGGGACTTTGCAGATGGGATTAAAACCAAGGACCTTCAGATGAGGAGGGGATCCCGGATTATCCAGGTGGTTCAATCTTATCACTTGCATCCTTTAAAACAAAGAGTTTTTCCCAGGTGCAGAGAATCAGAGATGGTAGCAGGAGCAGTGAAAGTGGTTTCAGCAGCAGCAGCAGGGCCATCAGAGTAAGTAGGGTTCAAGTAATACCACTTTCTCCTTTGCTGCTCCAGCCCGAGGGGCTGTAGTGGCTTCCTGCAGTTACATGTTACTAATCTCTGGGTAATAGCACCTTCCTCTTCTCTCCCTCAGGCTTTTCAACACATTTGTAAACAATTCCACGAGTTGTACTCCCTCTGTTTGAAAAGCTGAGAATGGTTTCTGTTATCCTGACTAAACACTGATACCAATGCTTTTTGCAACATGAAGTGCAAATGATATACATTGATGGAATACTTTCTGCATGTACTAAGAGCAGAATGTATGCATTAAAAGCTTGTATCTACAAGTGGAACTTAATATTTGCTCATAATGTGATCATATGCATAACATATACAACCCTTAGTCACATAATATTTCCTCCTTTCAAATATTTTACTGTTAAAGTAGGTTTTCATTGGGGAGAGAAAGTGATGGAGAGAAAAACATCCGATTGGTTCATTAGAATTTCCAAAGGCAATGAAAGATATTTAAACACAGTAATGAGGTTGGATGCTTATCAGCAAAACCAGTCGTTTTAGATTAAATATCTATCCCTAATAGAAAAGGAGAAAAATTCCTTCCACATGGCAGCAAGCTCATAAAAACAACTCATCTACTTAACTCAATATGCTTTGACAAAAGGAATAGGAAAAATAGAAAAGCCACTTCAAATGTGTCATCGTCTTGAGTTAAAGCTGCATCCAGAAAGTAGGGCATACTGAGCATTTTCATTATGAAAGTTGTGAAAACACAGGGCTGCTATTTTCAATGGTTGTGTTAAACAGAAAGATAATTGTCCTCCATGCCTGTGCTTCTCTTCCCAAGAAAACACAAGTACAGTAAAGAGCAATCTTATAGGGCCACCCAAAAGAGCAACAGTTTCAACAATTTGATATAAAAGGGCTAATTTCCCAGTTATTGCTGAGGACATTTTAAGGGGTCAAGGAAATCTGCTCATGACAGAACAAGCCAATTACTGTAGGAGTAACCATCAGCTGCCTTTCATTGGCACTTAACATTCATTAGCTCCTTCATTTCTTACAGTGGCCCTATCAGGCAAGTCACGTCACCAGTGAACAAGCTGAGGCTCAGAGTGCGGAAGCAGTCACACAGCTAGTTAAAGCTGGAGTGGGAGGTCAAACCAGTTCAGTCCAACTCTAAAATCAATACGCTTAACCTCTTCTCTATACTTAAAACATGAAGGGAAAATATACATGCTCCCACCTTAAAATTGTAGGAGCAGGAGAATAAATGCATAAAACAAGGTAAAATATGTACATAAACAATACAAAAAACCCTACACACATCAAAGTTTTTATTATAAACTTTTAAATAAATATCAAAACATGCAACATTTGTCACCAAGCAACACTGGAAGGAATTCGTCTTTTAGTGGCACACATGCATTTCAGAGATCCAGAGAGGTGTCTCATCTAAAGAAGTAATTGATTATTACCTTGGATCTTCAGTGTTGTTATATTACTGGTGTCTAATACCTTCTGATCCAACTTCCTTCACAAAGGCAAAATGAGTTTCTATAATTGATTCAAAACATCCCAGACACCCTCCATTTTCCTGTTTTCTGGATAGAAATGTTATATATCCTCAAAGCAAGAAAGCCCTCATTTGGCCAGACCACCCCAGATTATCCAAAAACAGCAAAGAGGAATATTTTGGGTGAAACTTAAATCCTGATTTCATTCTTGTGCATAGATCTATAAAGTTAATTCTCAGTTCTTCTCTCCTTATAAGGGCCTATTCATAATGAACTTATTGTACAAGTAACTAAGATTAAGGATGATTCAACTCTGGTACTCTTATTTTCTTGTTTATAAATCATTTCTGATTTTTATTTGTAATGACAACGACAACACAAAAAAGCCATGGTTAGTGTCTCATTTGGCACAACCCATAGGAAGTAATCAGAAGATCTCATGTCAGGACCACAGAGTGTTTAGTTTGTAGTGAGATTAAAAGCCATATTTCTACCTGAGACAATTTCCTTGTTGTATGGCCTACAGGATCCCACCTGGCTGGCCATTACCTGCCAATCCTGCCTCATCTTACATCCCCTCATCCCCTCAGCCCACACCCACATCCCAGGCCTGGGAGTCTTTCCTTGGGTCCTGTCTTAGGGCTCCGTGCCAGGATAACTCCTGCTCATTCCTCTTGTCTCAAATTAGCCATCTTTTACTCTGGGAAGTCTTCCCCATTTCTAGGAATAATTAGGTTAACCCTATTATATCCCTTTTTAACATCGGTTACTTTTTTCTTCACAAGAATTTGTACATTTATAAATAGGATATTATCAAATTTAAAAAAAAACTGTCTATCACCTATCTTCAATCCCTGTCTGTAGTCCACTGGGACAGATACCATGTCAATGTATTTACCTCAGTATCATCAGCTCTTGGTACAGTGCCCAGGATGTAGTAAGGACCCCAAAATGGTTTGTGAAAACTTAGGATCTGAACTTCACCAGCTTTGAGGCAGAGCCATAGTTTCCCTGAGAATTTTCCACCAAGAACCTGGAGTAATAGGTGTATGTATCTTCCAAGCAGAGTAACACAGAGCTCTTCCAGCCAAGGTCCTTTAAATCCTCATCTTTCTGGGCCGGCCCGGTGGCGCAGCAGTTAAGTTCACACATTCCGCTTCTTGGCAGCCTGGGGTTCACCGGTTCGGATCCCCAATGCAGACATGGCATCGCTTGGCACACCATGCTGTGGTAGGCGTCCCACATATAAAGTGGAGGAAGATGGGCATGGATGTTAGCTCAGGGTCAGTCTTCCTCAGTGAAAAGAGGAGGATTGGCAGCAGTTAGCTCAGGGCTAATCTTCCTCAAAAAAAAAAAAAATCCTCATCTTTCACTTAGGAGCTTCCTCTTTGTGGTCTCTACTCTCTAGGGAGCCCTAAAGTCCTTCCAAAGCAGACCCTTAAATTAAAACTCACTTTCATGCTCCCATACTATGCTTTCCTTATCTTCTTCAAAGGTTTGCTTCCTTTTCTTTTAGGGACCTAACACCCGAGGTATTAGGTTAAAAGAAGAATGTCTTCCAGATCTTTTATTCACATTGAAGAATAAATAACTAACAGGATGAAGAGATATTTCTATGTATATTTGCATTTAGCAGCATCTAAATTGAAATGTCTGGCATGGGCCACTAGGAATGGAGGATTCCCTGAGGAATACAAACAGAACCTTCTCTATGTGTAGTAGCCAACCATGCCTCCCCCACATACAGATCTCCAAGGAAAAGGGGGCACTCACGCCCTCATGCCACAAGAAGCCCAGTCTAGTGCTCTAATATTCTCTCTCCTAGGCGCCACACCTACTATATCCCTTCAGTCCTCAGCTGATCCTGTTTTTGGTGCTGGCCCCTTAGGCTGCATCCCACACCAGACCAGCAGGATTACAGGAACCCTACCTTCAACTGCTGTCATTCCCTTGGTCTCACGCAGGTGACTACAGTTTTTAAAAAATTTTCTAAGAAATCCAAAAGAAAACAAAATCAAAAGGACAAAATGAAAAGCCTACAAAAGTTTAGAATTGTCTAGGTCTAAATTAATTTTAAACTCTGACCTAAGTGCTCAGTGCCATGGGCCAATTGAACCACATTAACATGGATAGTTATCTCAGTTCATCCATTTCAGATGCTTTCCTCACTGTTTTTTTTTCTTGTGTTACACAAAGGAGTTTTGTCACTTAGCAAAGCTTAGTTCATGAGAAGTATGTCTTCTCTTCCCACAGTGTGATTTACCTTTCAGTTTTGCTATAGCAAGTGCCTGGCACATAGTAGACCCTTAGCAATACTTAAATACATGACTGAATGAA